ATTTATGCTATGCTTAACTGTTGGTTTATTAAGAGTAAAGGTCATATTAGAAATTTTATCCCTTCTCTCATTTTGTGGTATTTATGGTTGGATAGGAATAATTCTCTTTTTAATAGTGTTACTATGAACCATCATATGATTATTCAAAATGTGAAAGATAAGGTTTTGGCTCTTTATTCTGTAAATTTGCTCACTGTTAAGAAATTTAAAAACTATTATTTTATGGCTTCTTCTTATATTATTATTTGGGACGTAAGTTTTAATTCCATTGTGCCTAGGGTTATTTATTGAATCAAGCCCCACAAAAATTTCTATAATTTGAATGTGGATGGTACTATTAGTGGTTATTTTTTCAGGGTGTGGTGGGGTGATTAGAGATAGTAATTGTATATTATGTTTGGCTTTTGTTGGTCCGGTTCATAAGGGTAATGCCAATTATGCTATTTTTTGGCTATTTTTATGGCCTTCAGTTATGTATTTCTCTTGGCCTAATTATTTTGAAATTGAATTCAATGCCAATTATAGCTTTCAATTTTTAAATTCTATCATTAATACTGCATGTTCCCCTGAGCTATTTTATCTTGTGAGGGATATTAAGAACCTTCTTATTTTTTTGAACTATTTGTTACATCATGTTTATGAGGGGAATGCTTGTGCTAATTGGCTTGCCAACTGAGGTTATAATTTTTATTGTGCTAATCTTCCTACTTCTTTGAAAGGTCTCTTAAGATTAGATGCCATTAATTTACCCTATGTTACTCTCTAAGGTTTCCATTTTGTTTGGGAAGGTGCTTCTATCTCGCTGGAGTCTGCTGGCTGTATATTCATTTTTTGGAAGGTTGTTATTGGTGTGGTAGTGTGGGTTCTGGTTTCATTTTGCCTATTTGGGGTGGTGTTGTTCTCCTAGGATTGGGTTGTCCAGCCCTAGAATTTTTGGGTTTTGGTTTTGATGTTGTTGCTTTTGGGGGGCATATCTTCCCTGTTTTTTTTTTGTCATGCGGAGGTGTTGTTTATGATTTATTCCTTGGTAAACAAACTCTCTCTTTGATCTAGTGCAAGTCTTCCCAATCTGGGTTATTTCTTCCAAGGTTTTTTGGTTTTTGGTTCTATTTGGTGTTTACTTGTGGTGGTAGTTGGGGAGATTTAGTGAGTTGTTTTTCCTATGGGTCCATTTTATTCTGGTGGAGCTCATTCCAGCATTTGGTTTTTGTGGGGCCTATACTGCAACTACTTTCTTGGATCTACTTTAATATAATTTTATTGGCTTTTATTTGTTTGAAGTTGAGTGGGTTGGCTCTATTTCTATGCCTTGTTTATCTTAAGGATAATATTGGTTGGTTTTCATAATTACCTACCTTTGGGTATTTGGCTTCTCTATGGTTTATTGCTGTTGTGGTGTTCTAGTGCCTTACTGAGTAGTTTGTTCCTTATGCTAGCTATGGTTTGATCTTGGGAGTCTTGTGTTTTCTTGGTATTGTCTTCTTGTAATCTTAACTTGTTGTGCTGGGCCGGTTTTAACTTGATGTTGAGCCCCGACTGTTAGCCAATTTTGTTTGTGACTATAATACCTTGTGATATCAATAGTGTTGCTATTTGGTCGGGTTTATGAGCTGTTGGTTGGTTATCATCAGGATATTGAGTACTATTTGGACTGAATTTTGGAGAATTTGTTTGATTTATAATTGTTGTAATCTCACTGCTGTTATTATATCTTTCTATTTTTGATATGTATTTTCTATGTATTATTTTCTTTTCAAGAAATCCAATTATGTAGGTGAACATATTGATCTTATCTTTTCTAGCAACTATTTTTTAGTTCTTTAATCTTTTTTAGGTGCTCGTTCTTGTGCATCGTAGCATGTACCTAGGTTATTATGTACTTTTTTCTAGTAGGGATCTCGAGCTTGTAGTTTATTTTTTTATCTTTTTGTAGCTCTTTTGAACATTAGTGAGCATGAGGGACCTTTAAGGAACTTATACTATTTTTTTCTATATTAATGCGTAGGCCCCTCGGTGGGTTTCCTCTAAAAAAATAGGTTATTTTCAACTTCAATAGAGATTCTGTATGTCTATCCAAATTAGTTCAAAACAATGCTTTAAAATTTTTTTAACAAGTCTTAAATAAAGAAGCCTTAATATCTAAAAATAATTAAAATAAATCTATGGTTTATCTTATTCTTTTAGAAGATTTCATTTTTGTGAGATTTGGACTTAGTTATTTTTAAACTCATTACACTTTGATTTATTAATTAATATGTTCTTAAAAAACTATTTAAAAAAAATTTAAATGAGAAATCTTAAAAATTTCAAAAAATAATCTTTAATACATTATTACTTAAATTTAATAAAATTTTATTTACAAACCTTAAAGAAACTAAACATAAAAATGATAAAATTTTGATGCCTAATATGATTGGCTAAGCCACTTAACTTAGCCCACACTATAGTTTGCTTGTTAGGGCAATCAACTCAAGCTTTTTATTAAGTGCCTTTTTAAAAACTTTGAATGGATTATTTGCTTCCTAAATTTATTTTTAAATGCAAAAAATTGAGTGAGTTTGGAGGAAGTGTTCATATGATTATGTGATCGAATGATTATATGTGGATTATGTGTTAAATTTATGATTTATCATGAATGTTTAGGTTTTTTGTAATTAAGAATGCTCTGAATGTTTATCACTAATTCAATATTCATTAAGTGGCCAAATTTTTGCAGGGCAATTATTAAAATGGAGAGAAAACTAAGTAAAATTTAAACTAAATAATTTTATATAGGTTCATATGCTACTCAGCTCACCAAAAATATTTAAAACATGGCCAAGTTACGGTTACTCAATCATTAACCAAATACATATGTATTATGTGTTGTAATGTTTTTCATATTATACATAGTACCGTCGTCCTTTCACACTCCCCCGATGTTGGCAGAGAACCGTTCCTCCTTTCACACTATTCCCAGTATTGGCAGAGTACCGTCGTCCTTTCACTGGTGTAGGCAGAGAACCCTTTCTTCCTTTCACACTCTCCTAGTGTGTGCAGAGAACCCTCGACTGTTTACACTTCCCAAGTGTCGGTAGAGAACCGGATCTTCTCCAAGATCTTCTTCACAAGTCCATTCTAAAAGAAAAGAGAGAAGAGTGAAGTAATCTCAAACTTGAAAGTGGAAAGACTTACCCTTGAGTACCAAGTGAAACCTTCATGCTCCAATGGCTAGAAATCTCCTTCAAATGCTCTCTCACACTCTCTCCTTGACTCTTTTTTCAATAGGCACGAAGATCAATAAGCAGAAAGATTAAGTGGCAGTTTTAGAATGGCCTATATATAGAAGAGACAAGAAAAAACATATAAAAATGGCAAATTTCAAGTTATCATGCACATGATCGTCCCGTACGATCGAAAATAATCCTAGACAATTTTACTTAAAAGCCTTGAAACAAACCTGTTATATATTTGTACAAAATAATTTTGTACATGATGATTGTCCCGTACGAACCAAGTTCATCCGGTACGAACGGTTACCACTAGGTTGGTTCCAAAAACTGTAGAATGAGCAAACAAAAACTGTCTTAAGTCAGTTATATCATCCTGGATGAAAATGTTTCGTCTGAACGAAATTCTTAAAGAGCCAAATCGTTCTGTTTTGTAATTAATTTCATTTGGACGAAATTCTTACAGAGAGCAAATCGTTCCGGACGATAATTAATTTCATCTGGACGATCAGGACTTAGAAAAATTTCTTAGGCAGTTTATGTTTTTTCCATGTGCTCTTAATATGAGATAACTAACTGATCGTCCCATACGAACGGATATCGTCCCGTATGATTAGTATAAAATTTTATGATCTCCTTAAGGTTGTGTGTATGTTTTTTTTCACTCAATTACAATCACTCCCTCTCAATTCAAATAACATTTTTAAGCTTCAAAATTGCAAAGTATTTGTTGCTGAATTTGATTTGAAGTCTTCATCTTCGAGAGTTTGATTCACCTGAAATGTTAGTACACACAAGTGCAAATACACATTTTCGAAAAAATTGTTAGGAGATAACTACACATAGAACAATAATATTTGGAATCATCAAAACTATACAAGTTGTAAAAATGTAAACATGCAAATAGCAACTCTCTTAACAACCTTCAATTATAAAAATGTTTTAATTAAGTGGTACATGCTACATCTAAGCATTAGAGTATTATTTAAACACCAAAGTAAGAAAAGTTTAATAACTATTTTAATTGAGAGTACTCATAAGATTTTTTTATCTTTTAAGATGTAATTAATTTTAGGGGCCTGCCTGTATGGGGAAACTCTAACCTTGGACTAAATAAACATTATCTTATTTTTATAAGGTAGGGGAAAGATTTTTATGAACATAAAAAATTTGTCTAAAACCCATTTTAGTATTTAAATGACTTCGCAAGATATCATGTTCATCATTCAAAATGCTATGCTTCTATCTTTTTTTTTTTTTTTTGAGAAAATGCATTTTGCATTAATAAGGAAATAACAACCTAAAAACAAGCATTTAAAGCAAACATAAAGAATCACATTCCTCCTTCAAGCAAAACAAGAATGAAGGAGGAATATCTTGAAAGCTAATGTCTTTCCAAACAAATGAGCTCTTTAACGCCAAATTAGCACATACATCCGCTAATTTGTTACAATCTCTATTAGTAAAAGAAAACAAAACTTGGTTGAAATCAAGAAGGAAAGACCAGTTATCCTCAATGCATTTACTAACCTTCCAAGTCTTCATAGCCGATTGAAGAAGTTTGATAATGTTAAAATTATCTCCTTCAATTATGATTCCTTGAGCTTCAAACATCCAATCACGGAGGATATTTTTCAAATGTAGAATCGTCATCAATTCAATTTGAGCAACGCCCCAATGCATAATATTTACTCCAAAAGAAATAAGAAATCTTCCTTTCTCATCTCTTGCCACACCTCCAAAAATAGCCACATAATTAGATAAGATAGAAGCGCCTACATTTAATTTAATCTAACCAGTTGGAGGAGGATACCAAGACCAAGACAGCATACGCTGGTTAGTATCCCAGTTTTCCGGTATATGATTAATAAAGTTGCTAATTGTAGCTGTAGAGACCACATTTTCTACCAAAGAGTTGATTGAGTCTTCAATGCTATCATGAATCAATTTACATCTACTTTTCCACACTAGCCAAGTAGTCGTACAATACATATTGGCAATGCGAGAATTATTTCCTACAAGCTTCTTTAAACCTTCAAAACATTCTTGTAAGTTGTCATAGATCGTAATATTGAAGCCCCAGTTATTGAGTAAAGAAATCTCTTCATGAAGCTTTGAACAGTTCCCTGCAATATGCCATTCGTTCTCATCTTCTTTACATCCCCTCGGGCAGACTGAGAAGTTACTAACTTTTCTTCTAACTAGAAAATCATTAGAAGGAATGGCATCATTATACAGCCTCCACCAAAAGAGTTCAATCTTTGGTCTTAATTTTAATTTTTTCATCCAATTCCATATTACATCACCGCCATTTTTATCATATAGTGCTTGGAATGCCAGAGCAGCAATTGACTTTCCTGAAAATTTAGAATTGAGCTCAATGAGATCGTATCCTCTTCCGGCCTGAATTGGAATTTGAGTAATAAGTTTCATTATATGCTCCCCAAATGTTAATTGAATATGCTCAATATTCTATTCTCCGTCCAGATTGAAATAACATAGCTTGAATTCTCTTGGTTCCAAACAGTTGACAAACGTCGGCCACCTTGCTATACATCTATCCAGAATCCAGCTATCAAACATCCAATTGATCGAATTTCCATTAGAAACATCCCACCTAACAATGTTTCTAAGAAAATGAGCTCCCATAGTGATGATTTTCCAAGTCGATGACAATCTCTTTTCATTGGAGTCATCCAGACGTCTTCACCATATTTAGCTCTTAAAATTTGGTTCAACAATGTAGTAGGCTTTGTGCAGAAATTCCATGCCAATTGGGCCCTAAAGGACCAATCCTTTATACAGCTGAGAATAATCCTCTACCGCCTTCTTCCTTATTCTTGAAAAGCCTTTCCCAAGAAGCATAATGAATACCTGTATTTACATTTTTCTTTTTCCACCAAAAGCTTCTACACATTTTATCAAATTCTTTTAAAATACTCGAAGGAACAAGAGAAATTGAAGTTAAGAACATAGGAAGAGAGAGGAATGCTGATTTGATGAGAACCATCTTGCCTTCCAAAGAGATGAATTTTTGTCCCCAAATATTTAATCAATTAGCTACCACATCCATAAGTTTAGAGAAATCCAAAGAAACCACTCTCCTCAAGGCCATCTTTACACCAAGGTAATTCAACTCCTTCACCACATTAAATTTAAGAAGATTGGAGAGTCTCTTTTTAGTTTTATGATTAGTAAATTTTCCAAAAATAACCATAGGTTTACCCTTGTTAACTTTTTGTCCCGACCATAAACAATAGTCATTAATGATAGATTTCAAATCTTTAATAACATTAATCTTGCATTCCGAGAAGATCAAAATATCGTCCGCATAAAGCAAATGGGACACTCTAGGAGCCCTGGAAGAAATAGAGATTCCCACATCACCTTTCCTACCATTAACAGCATATGATAGGATTTGAGAGCATAGAATAAACAAATAAGGGGATAAAGGGCAACCTTGCCTAAATCCACTTTTCCCTTCAATCCAATTCGTTTTCTTTCCATTGATCAATATGCAATATTTGGGATTTAAGATGCATTGTAAAATGAGTTCCTTAAATTTAGGAGGAAAATTAGAATGAGAAAGCACTTGCCTCAAAGCATCCCAACTCATACTATCATAAGCTTGTTCCATGTAAGCTTGATTGCCAAGAGTCCTTTCCTAGCTTTAGAATAACAAAATTTGTTGAAGACTTCTTGTGACAAAGGAACATGATCTGACAAAAGAACTCCCTTTGATAAAAGCAGCTTAATCCGTCGAGATTAATTTATGAATAACCATTTCCAATCTACGTAAAAGCATTTTTGCAATAACTTTATAAATGGTCAAATAGAAGCTAATAGGCTGAAAATTTGTTACCTCTTGAGGATTTTGATTCTTCGGAATAAATACTATAAAAGTTTCCTTTCACGACATATGCATATCTCCAGAAATTAGGAAATGCCTCACTGCTAACCAAACATCTTCAGCTATCAGATTCCAGAACTTTTTCAAGAAAGAAAATGTTATCCCGTCCACCCCAGGAGCATTATTGCTGCCAGATTTTTCAATAAAACTTTGAAGCTCTTCCCTAGTGAACTCTGCTTCCAACACAGCTTGATCCTTCTCATTGATAATAGCGAAAGGTTTAGGCCAGCCATCAAGTATACAATTTCTCTGTTGCCATTTCAGCTTGAAGAAATCAGAAAACACTTTCTGAATTTCATTTACATCCTCCGTTATATTGCATGCATTAGTCTTAATATGACTAATCCAATTGGTATTTTTCCTGGCATTAGCAAATGCATGAAAAAAACCAGAATTGCAATCTCCTTCTTCCATCTACCTTGCTTTAGCTCTTTTCCTCCACCAAGTATTGAGTCTTGCAAGAGTGACATTGAGTTCATTAATTTTGAATCTTAAAATCTGCAGCTTCTCCAAAGAAATCCCAAATTCGCCTTCTTCCAGTTGCATTTCTTGTATATCTTACTTTAATCTGTCCCGAAGAACCATAAGGTTTTTGAACTTTACTTTGCTCCAGTAGAAAAGAGATCTCAAAGTTCTTTTAAATTTAACATTAAGAGAAGAAGCCGGATTCAACCCAGTGAATTTACTCCAAGATTTTTTCACAATAGCCTCTGCTCCATGATAAGTTTCCGAAACTTCTTCATATTGGGTCTCAATTTTGTTAACCTTAGCAGGTTTGAAAATCTCTAGTAAAATAGGACAATGATCCGAAGCTATGTGAGATAAATGTTTCACCATAGCAAGGTGAATAGAGTTCAAAGCATTGGAATTGATAAGGCATCTATCCAATTTCTCTAGAATTCAAGCTCCTCCAGATTTTTTGTTACACCAAATAAATTTAGGACCCATAGAGTTCACCTCATGTAAATCATTGTTGATCATAAAGTTCTTCAAATCTCTAGCTCCTTAGGACAAGTAGAATTTTTTCCCACCTCTCTTTTCATCTTGACATAGAATACAGTTGAAATCCCCACCTATCACTATAGGCAAGTCCTCCGAGCAATGTTTTTCTAAGCATTCCGAAAGGATTTTTCTATCAATGGTTTTGTTACTCCCATAAACAGTTGCTATTTTCCATGTTCCTTTATTGAAAATCTGTAATTTTCCAACTATCATTTGTGAAGTAACTTAATCCACTGTGAAAGACGCAAAGTCCTTCCTCCATAGAACTGTTAAGCCTGCAGATAAACCTTTTGAGGGAACTAAAAATGATTCCCAATTGTTTCCTAGCAGTCTGATAATTTGAGAATTCTCCAAGGAGTTAATTTTAGTCTCCATCAACCCAACAAAAAAACTTTGTGGCCTTTAATCACTTCCTTCAAATATAGAGCAACCTCTACCTTCTTGGCTCCTCTACAATTCCAAAAAAATCATCGAGTTCATTACTTAAAGTTGGGAGAAGGTCCCCCATTCTTCTTGCTTTTAGCTCCACACTTTTTTCTGTCACTTTCCAATATATTACCCGATCCAAAAGACTTCAATTCCTTGAACAATTTAACCTTCTTTCCAGAAGATAAATTACTATTCACTTCCTTCTCAGAGTTATGAACTTCTTTATCTTTTTCTTGCATGAGTTTTCTTTTTTTATCAAATACTACTTCCACATTTGATATACTCTGAGGAATTTTTCTCAACAATCTTTCCTTCAGTAATTCTTTCAGGTACTTCAACATATCTTGAAACAGGTTGTTCATCTCTCGAAGAAGCTCCTTCCGATTCACCATTATTTTTTGAATTATCAGTGCAAGGTTTTGGAACATATATCTTTTTCATAGGAATAGAGATCCTATTAAAGAAGTTCCTCTTGTTAGCCATTCTCTTGAATCTTCTGTTGCCAGGTCTCACCTGGATCCACGAGTCATCCTTTACATTATCAACATTTACAACTGATTTGGCCTCTGCCTTTTAATTTCATGCTTTGTTCAATTCAGTTGCACTAGTAGTCATTGTAACATTTTCTTTATTAACTTCAGAGCAGTTGTTAACCACATGACCAATTCTACCACATCCATCACAAATTTTAGAAAATCCTTTATACTCTACCGCCTGAAAAAACTTTCCAGTCGTTCCTTCCACCCAAATACCTTTTGGGAGTTTTAAATCTAAGGAAATATGAATAAAAACTAGTGCAAACTCCCTTCTACTCCATTGGAACATATTCCCATCAAGGAGGAATGGTTTGCCCACCATCGAAGCTATCCTATAGATGTTTACCTCATCCCAGAACTGAAGAGGTAAATTGGGAAGTCGGATCCACACTGGAGCTGAAATACCTTTGAGAGAATTAGGATTGAATGAAGCAGACCATTTATCCAGTCCCACTGCTTGTCCTCTCACCCACCAAGGTCCACCAGAAAGTATGTTCTCCATAGCAACCGTATCTTCAAATGAGCATAACATCCATCCACGTCCCAAACCAGTTATATGGAATTTCCCAAAGCTGTTCCACTGTCTTCTTAGATCCATGCTAACCATATGAAAAGAAATTTCATCCCCAAAAATCTTCACAACTAAATCTTTCTCCAATATCTTGGCAATCTCCATTTCCTTCTCTACAAGTAATTTAACACCTTTTCCATCTTCTGTTTGAAAAGACCCCAGATCTAGTCTATCAACCTTAATGTTCTGCTTCTTATGCCAAACCAAATTGTTCTCCACATTAATCCGAATGTTTGATGGTTGAGTAGGATTATTACAAACTTCTTCGATACAACTGGAGCAGTAAGAGTAGATTCAGCATCAGACCTTTGACGCAAATGCTCATCCACCTTATCTTCATTTTTGGATTTAAACTTCAACTAGGGGGAAGACGTCAATTCCTTCCTACTTGGTGAAGAAGGCAGAGATGCATAATTAAAGTTTTTGATCACTGAGATCCTTGTTCCCTTTGAGGACGAAGCTTCCAGATTGAATTTACCAATAACTTCATTGATAGAAACAGAGCTGTTAAAAGATTTCACATTAAATCCTCCATCCTCTGTTAAAATTTCTTTCCCTTTCACAATCACCAAAACGGGAGAAGATTTCTTCGTTAATAAACCACCCTCATTAATCACCAGTGGTTTTGTTATCAGATTTTTGAAATTCATATTAAATTCATCAAGCTTATTCGAACCTCCATTGAAAACTTCAGAATATTTCTTCACAGGAATCGATAATCCTTTTCTGTAATTCGACCAGGATTCCGACATGAGAATCCGATTGCACTCCATATAATCCCTTAAAGATCGCCGGCCTTCTGGCCGATCGCCGGATCCACCAGATGTGTACGATGAGACCGCTGAAGACGAACTGAAAAAATGGAATTTTTTTTTTGAATTCCCAGACTTTCTCGGAGAAGATTTCTATCTAATTTATTTGGTTAACGAAATGTTGACTTTTCATAACACAGTTTTCTTTTTAAATATCATATAGAATATCATGT